TTGATAAGTATTTTCTCTTGATGTAAGAAGGTATTCTTGATGCATTTCTGCTACTATTTAAAATATTTTGTTCCTCAAGAAGATAACAATTCTTTCATATTCTTGATAGTCCTATGATTAAAAATTAATTCATCACCCTCAAGGCCTAATGTCTAAGTTATTATCTGCACATTTCAGGCGAGTCAATAGAACCTCTGTCTGAATGTATTAAGGATTTAGTTGCTGCTGAATGCTAAATATATATGTCCTTAGGCTAAATACCTCTTGGTGTATTTGTTTTCCATTGTTGATTTTACAGGTTTGTAATTTACCTATTTAGGATTAATGACATGAAAATGTTATTGCTTCTGAAATTCTAATAACCATTTTAGTGTTCATCACTGAAATACTTTCCTTTTCCTTGAATCACAGAAAATTTATTTAGGGTTGGCATATCTTGTCCATAGAAGACAAAGTGTATTCTGACTTCTTTGTTGTGATTGCTTACTCTGCTTTCACCTTTAGGACTTTTGTCTAATATCCTAAAATATCAACAAAATATAGCATCATTCTTCCATTTCAGTGTTCAATAGCATTGTGAGCATAATGTGAATATGACTTCATGATAAGAAGCATTTGACTTAATTTTACGCCTTTTCCCCATAGCAATTCCCAAAAGACACAATCAATGAAGAAGTGATAGAATTTTTGGGTCCTTACTTTGAAATGGCAGACTACAACATCGAAACTGCTAAACGTGTATGTGGGAATGTGGCCGGTCTTTGCTCTTGGACCAAAGCCATGGCGTCCTTTTTTTCTATAAACAGAGAAGTGTTGCCTCTGAAGGTAAGCCTTCTGGGTAGAGCTGCATGATACGTGCCTGTGAGGGGTCTCTAGGTCAACTGGGTCTTGACTTTTCACACAGCCCAGGAGTTTTCAGCCTTTGGTATTATTGTACTCAGGTCCATGGGGACAGCAAGTGACAGAAAGGCTGCACACAAGATGTTTCTTTCTTCTCTGTAATCCTGCACCAATCAGAACAGTGTGAGCCTTTAGGCACAGATGTTCTGTAAGGGAACTAAGCCCATGTGGGCTGTTGGTAGTTTCCTATACATTGTCAACTTCAAAAAGAAGAAAAAAGAAAAAAGAAAAAAAAAGAAAGAAACACAGAAAACTATAGCACAGAATCCCATGATAATGTCCAAGGTCTTGTGTCAGGAATTCTGTAAAAGAGACAGGGTTGACACAGACATTGGTGGCCTTGATTTTACCTTTTGGCCCGGAAGCATAAAATATGGGAAAAAATTGCTGACTCCTATTCTAATGAATTCTAATTTTCTGCTTGTGAACATTTATGTCAAGTTCACAGGAAGATTTGGTCTTGACTTAACACAATTTGAAAAGACCCTAAGGGTGGAACAAAGAGCAGGTATAACCAGGAGACATAACTGAGTGTTCTCAGTCTCTGAAGTGCTGGATGTTTGCTTTGCTGCCACCCCACACCTCCTGTGTGTCCTGTGCAGGCCAACCTGGTGGTGCAGGAGAATCGCCACGTCGTGGCCATGCAGGACCTGCAGAAGGCCCAGGCGGAGCTGGATGACAAGCAGGCAGAGCTGGATGTGGTGCAGACCGAGTACGAACAGGCCATGACGGAAAAGCAGGTGACTGCCCCCTGGCGTGGGAGGGACTGTCACACTTCATGGCTGTGGCAATCCCTCATTCCTTTCTAGCTTTCTCTCTGCAGAGGTTTGGTTTAGATCAAGGCTTCATCGAGTTTATACAAATGCAAACACAGCACATCATCCCTCACTAAGGCTTGATGTTGTTTCTAACAGACACTTAAGGACCATTGGTGAGACGTCAGGGTGTTCAGCCAAAATAGGAGTCGGCTCTGGAACGTGAACATTCTGAGTTTCCCTGTAATGGGGAGGATAACTGCGTCTTGTGTAGCATTTTTTTCTCATATTTTTCAAATCAGATCCTCCCACTTTATCTTATTTAATGTTTGAAACAATCTTTTAGGCAGGCTGAATAAAGATCATGCTTTTGTAAAGCACTGTATTGTGTTTTTACTACAAAAGCAATTCATATTCCTTATAGAAAATACACATAGGTAACCTGGAGAGGACACTAGAAATATTTTGCTCTTTATCACTTCATATTTGAACATATGCCTCGAATTACATGTATTTTAAATTTATTTAAAACTGTAATAGATAATTCAGTACATACTGCTTTATAAATGGAATTTTTAGCTTAATGATATATAATTATTACACATTTTTATGAGATTATTTTTAATGGCTTCAGAGTATTCTTATTCACAACTTACCATAATATATTTAAATAATCCTCTATTGTTTGATATTTAGCATATACAGTTGACCCTTGAATACCGTGTGTTTGAAATACGTGGGTCCACTTATATATGGTTTTTTCAATAAATACACATAATGCTGTAAGTGTATTGTCTCTTCTTTATGATTTTCTTACTAACAGTTTCTTTTCTCTAGCTTACTTTATTGTAAGAATATATATTTATATACACACTAGAGGCCCAGTGCATGAAATTTGTGCACTGGTACGGTCCCTAGCGGCTGCCGGCTGCCGGCCAGGTACTCCCTCCCTTCCCCCGGCTGCCTGCTGCCCCTGGCCAAACTCCGGGATGGGGCAGGGGTGTGGGCAGTTGGGCA